AAGAACCTTTAAAGATAGTCTAGTGTTGTTCTCATTCTAAAGGTGAATGATCAACTTTCTGTATCATTCTTGACAAATGCTTGCCTAATTTATTCTTAAACATTTCTTGTATTTATTACTACTGTTGCAAAGATTGCTACGTGCCCTAAGTTTTTTGGGTTGTAATTTAGGCCCCATTATTCTGTGTCTTGTGTGCAGTGGATGTACACAAGGTGTCTTTTTATAGCTACCTTTTAGAGTTTAAACATTGTTATTTCTCTTCAGTATTGCCCTTTCCAGGTTAAGCAGCTGTTTTTCAATTTATACTTTGAAGTCAGACTTTTGTACATCATTGAGCACCCTCTTGGACTTCCTGTAGACTCTCACCAGTTATACTACACCCTTCTTGAAAAGCAGTACATCATCTGGAGGGTTCAACAGGTAATCCATGCAAATGTAGTGCTGCAAAAATAATGCCTGGATGTACTAACTAACTCAAGTGTGATGTGTGAGAAGTAATCACTGGGCCTTTTAATTAGTGAGAAATGGTACATAAAAACTAGGTGACAGAAACAGGACATGAGGCTGGCATACTGGTCTTCAAGCTTGCAGTGCAGCTCTGTGGGCTTTGGATGACTAAATTAAAGCATGAGGCACAGGAGAGAACTGCTGCTGGATCTTAGTGAAAGATGGTAAATCATTTGGAGAGAGGTTTTCAAAGTCAGGAATTAAAGTCAGGTGCCCAGTTCCAGATTGCCTGTGAAATCACTGTGTACTTCCCATGTTTGTGTAACTTTGTGTTGTATATTGTCTAGCAGCTTTTATTTCAAAGTTAACAAAGTTACGCTTGTGTGATAGGTGATATAATGATCTCATAATAATAGGCAAAATCCAAGTCATGGAAAATGTCAGCATTTGAAAGAGAGCCCTGATAAATTACTAGCACCTTATACAACTGCCAGTTACCATGCTTTCCATGTTACAGCTGTCTTAATCATTGATGCTGGTTCCTCAGACTTGGAGCTGTAATACCTGATTTTTGTTTCAGGGTATATTATGAAGTTGCTGATGGTAGTGCCTTAGCTTTTTGGCTAAAAAGAATAGCAAATACTTTGTGGATTATCAGTAAGAGCAGCAGTCAAACAGCATTCTTTTCGAATCAACAGAGAAGAAAGCTGCACCAGTTTGTCTGGGTTCCCTAATAACAAAGGTCTTTCTCACATTTATTGATCCTTTTGTATTTTCCAACTTGTTCAGGGTCAGTTGATGACTGGAGTGAACTGTCCCATCTTTGAAAACTGCTTGTAACTGTGGAAAAGAGGTTTGTTGGCTTCCTCGTGTGATAAGCAGACATTGAAGAAATTGTATGCTGCTCCTCTCTTAAGTCAGAGACAGGAATTGGATAGATAATGTGTTACTAGAAAATAAAATAGAACTGGGCCCCTTGAGACAGAAAATGTGCTGATGAAATCATGTAGTAGTATTATCGAGACATAGTGACTGTTTTCTCAGCTAACAAACAGATCCTATGCAAAAATGATGTTTGTTCCAGGTAATTCTAGTCAGTCTCCCAAGGCAATGGATGTCCTTTGCAAATGAGAAAAAGTGGACCTAAGTATTGAAACAATAAGGGCTGTTTTCTTCTCCAGTTCAAAATTGGCACAGCAGAGCCTATATAGTTTTCAAATCGTTAGCAGCTCCTTCACCTGCTTGTTAGCAAACAGAGCAGAATCTGTACTTTCTCCTTCTCTATGGCTCTTGAAAGAAACTTGAACTCGTTTGCTTGTTGGAAAAAAAAAAAAAGGGATGTTGGATCAAGCACAACTATAGCAAATACTGAGTTTGCTTAAATTATTTAGAATTTTCATGTGTTGCTACTCATTAGAAAAAATCAAAACTTGAAAAAAATTACTATAAGGATTAAGCTATGAGATTGTTTTCAGGAAAAAAAAGAATAATAAATGGAACATAGTTGTAGAGAAAGTAATTTTCATAGCACTTTGAGGTAACATAGCTGTCTAAACATGATGTTTAAGGAAAAGATACTTGGTGTCTTTATGATTCTTTTTGTGGCCTTCTAAATGAAAAGTCTGACTGTATGAACCCTGGTTGACTGTGTGAACCCTGGTTATCTGTGTTACAGAAAACTGATCTGCTTTGCAAGCTGAGATTATTCTGAAACAGAGCAAAGTAGGAGAGACATAGTCTTGTGGTTTTGGTTAGTATCGTGCAATTTAAACAGACTGTATAACAGCCAAAACTTTTTGTGATTTAAAAACTTCATTTGACTGCATAAAGGATGAATATGACCCATGAACAGTTTCTTGTGTTCATGCACATTGCCAGTGTTTTACTACTGAGAGAAGTCCTAGCAATTGTAAACAACTAGATGATTCATCAGAACATCACACACAAATGTATATCTCAAATAATTTTTGTATCACAGCTAGTCTAAATGCATTAATGTTTTATGTAAGGAGCTCTTCCCTAATAATCTATTTCTCATTTTATGTGATAGACAATGAAAGAATTTCTTCAAATATCTAAAAGGAAACATTGGATGAGAAAAGGGGAGAGACAGAGTGGGTTTTGAAGTGTTGATGCAATATTATAGATTGTGTTGCAGTTCACAGAGGAGAAGACTATTTTGGTTATAATACCAAAATATTTCTCTTCCACATCTGTAAGCTACACTAATGATTTTATGCTTAGAAGCTTAAAAGATCCTGAGAAGTTAATTTCAACCTCTTCATAAAGGCTACATGGCTAACACGATATTATTCCCTTTTTGTGGTCTAGATTAACACATATCTTTCTCAGTGACAACTATTGAACTGGAAGTATTATTTTCACATATCCTGCATATCAGAAATGGTAAGACTAAGTAAATTGTCAGAGGTTTGAATTTACAAGTCTACTGAAGCCTTTAAGTGCCTGATTAATGTTTAAGAGCAGAAGAAACCCTACTGAATTCAGGTGGGACCATGTTTTTGTGAAGCAGCACATCTAGTTTTAGTACACTCAACACTAGTTTAGAAGTGCTGTAACTA